GCAAAGCAGACGATGAAACAACCGTCGGAAGATTCCGGGGAGGGCTCGGAGGCTACCATCACAAAGCAGACGATGAAACGACCGTCGGAAGATTCTGGGGAGGGCTCGGAGGCTATCATCACAAAGCAGACGACGAAACGACCGTCGGAAGATGCCGGGGATGAACCGTTGGAACTAAGGCTTTCCGACGGCTACGTCGGATTCGAGTTTGTGCAGGACCCGGTGATTGCCAGCAAGGTCCTCAAGAAAGAAAAGAGCGACGAATCGACAGCCCTTAGCATGATCATGAACTCGGCCGCACAAGAAATCCGACAAACCAATTTGGAGACTTCCTCTGAAGACAAACAAGGCCCGGATGCCAAGGCTACCGTGCATGAAAGGAAGAGCATACTCGACGACGACGACAGCAACGAGCAAATATCCAACAGCGGCAATATTCGAACCATCGAACTGAAGAAAGCCGAAACTGATGCAATCGAAACCAATGACACAACGAAGGATGATGCAGCTGCCCAAAAGGAAATTATCGAGACATCGGTGGTGGCGGGGAAGTCGGCTGAGAAGAAGGCCGAAAGCACATTTTACAGCGACGAAGCCAAACTGAAAATGAAGACTTCCAATGACACGGCAGAAGAAATGGCTGGTGTCAGCTGTTGCTGCTCCTTATGGTGGTAAGGGAATTTGATGCCATCAATTGCTATGCCATTTTCAGTTCAACGCAATATTCATTCTAGTCGCAGTGAGTGCACCAGTCCTTACTTCACTGGGCATTTTGTTAGCTTTTGAATTTCAGTTCGACCATAATCTAAATTGTTAGGTGAACAGGTAGATAATGTTCTAAGTAAAAATAATACGGCTGCGCTTTCAGCAGCACTAATTGAAAGATCTCGTGAAGACATAGTATCTAGTAGAAGTGGTAGTCAACGAAGTTGTATTGATTGGAACACAATTGACCAAACTTGTATTGGATGATTCGTACAAACGATTGTCAAACGATTGAGTTATCCGTGTCACGAAGCTGCCTGTTCGTCTTTCCACTGATCGTATTGCTTTAGCAGCAACTTGGAAACGGATTTTGTAGCTTGCTCTATGGCCTGGTCAAAATCTTTTCGCTGTATGGGCCGAATATCAACGGACTTGGCGGACTGGATGGCACTGATGTCGCCCAGCGACCGAATCGGTCCAAAGGAGGCCTCGGAAGCTATGCTAGAAATGTCCGACCCACTGAAGCCTTCCAGCCGCTTGACGATTCTCTTTATGTCGTCGCTGGAGAGCTCTGTATCCCCTGCCTTTTCAAGAAGGTTTTTCAGGAGGGCCTTCCGGGTGGTCGAATCGGGCAGGGGTATGTATATTCTTCGGGGAAACCGTCTCAGGACGGCCGAATCAATGTCCCACGGGCAGTTCGTAGCGGCAATCACCAGCAGGTGTTTTCCGTTTTCGTCTCCGCCGGTCTTGACAATGCCGTCGATGTTGGTCATGAACTCCGTTTTGAAGCGGCKGCTCGCCTCGTGTTCCCCGTCCGATTTCCGACTGCTTAGGAGGGAGTCAACCTCGTCGACAAACACGATGGATGGGGCAGCATCCCGGGCCACCTGGAAGAGGGTCCTGAGCAGTTTTTCTCCCTCGCCATGCCACTTGCTGGTCATTGCGCTCGCCGTGCACACAAACAAAACAGTGGACGACTCATGCGCCACGGCTTTAACGAGCAAGGTCTTCCCCGTCCCCGGTGGCCCATACAGTAGGATGTTCCGCGGCTTCCGCAACCCGGAAAACAAATCGGGGCGCATAAGGGGTAGAATGGCGGCCTCCTGAAGGGCCTGCTTGGCGTGTTCGAGACCGGCAATGTCCTTCCACGTCGTGTTGTGTAGTTTCGAGGGATCGATGTAGAGTTCGGATTTGATGGTATTGACGAGTGGCTCCTGGCTGTTGGCAAACAGAGACGGCCTCCCCACCGCAGTCTGTCGTTTCGTATTTGCGGTGCGGCTCTTAGCACCGTACGTATTCGTTTTGCCCGGCATGTCAGTTCGTGTGATGTTGACATCGGTGCTCTTCGATGGCATCCTCGTGATCGTTTTGGATTTGGCTTTGCGGGTTGGCTTCTCCGTTGGACTCACTGGTTTTGTTTCGTTTAGCAATTCGGAAAGCGCTTCGACGGCTCTGGAGAGCTTGTTTCGTCTCGACTGCAGCTGTTGCCGCTGGGTGGTTGTGGTGCTGTTCCTGTTGCCGCCTTTGGTACTGGGTTTTGAGGATTGTTCATTCCCCCTTAGTTCGGATTTCATTTCTTCCGCTAGCGTTAGTGCATTCTGGATCCGATTCCCGACGGCATCCCGACTCACTCCTTGAACGTCGAGCTCGGCCGGACACCTCTTGAGGTACCCAATCAGCATTTCGATGGACAGCTCGCTGATATCTAATGCCTCCCTCGTCCGTCCCTTTTGTCGAAGAACCACCGCCTCGTCTAGTCCTTCCAGTGCCAGGCGAATGTGTTCTTCGGTGAGATGCTCGTTGCGGGTCCGTTGCTGCTGTTGCTGCCGTTGCTCCTTTTGTTGCTGCTCTTTTTGTTGTCTGCGCCTGTCCATTTCCCGTCGCATCAGCTTGGCTTGTTCGACATCGTGCCGGAACCGATCGACCACAAATTTGTCATCCACGAGAGGAACAATGATGGGTTTTGTGGTGTTGTTGCTGCTACTACCAGTGCTAGGTGATTCTTTGACTTGCGCTTTGTGGTTTCTGCTGCCGCTCAATGAAAGCCGCCTCGAGCCTTTTCTGATAGATGCTGTTGCGGCGCTTCGTGCTTCCGGTCTCTTAGTGGTGGTGATAGTGCTGTAGCCGTTGCTGTTGCCGTTGCTGTTTCTGCTGCTGTCGCCCATGAGGTTGGAAAAGGGCCACGGGAAACCAGAGAAGGACTTTTCCGAACCTTCGATGTCTTCGGTCATGCTGGCGTTGATTACGAGGTCTTCCATGCAATCCATGTTGCGGGCTATTCTTGTCTGCTCGATGGGTGGAAGTATGTGGTAACTCGTAGGACAAGAACAACCAAACACAGCATCGGCATTACTGTATTCTTCGGCGATGTAGTTGGAGACTGCCTGCGTGTATCTTCTGAACGACAGGAATCGTATCGTACGATTACAATGCCTCGGCACGCGGAGGGTGCGTTTGTGTTTGCCGTCCTGTCGTTCTCTACCGTCCTCGTTGAGCAGGTCAACATTTCCATGTACTCAGCTCGCGTGGTATGATTTGTTGAGCAGCTCGCGCCGTACAAACACTAGTTATTTTTTGCTTTAGTACATGCACCTCAACTGGTTACAAACCGCGCGGACTGAATTTTGTAACCAGAATTTGTAACCAAACCCTTTCCTAAGGAGAGCCCATATTTTTTACACATGCACGAGATTACGTGTACTCTCTTAGTAGGTGTTAAGTGTGTATGAAAATTGAAATTATAAGATTAGAATTATTCGAAGATTACCAAGCGTTCACGAGAATTCCGAAGTTCTGATCAGAAGCTCATGTAGACCTGGTAGGGAATCTACATGAAGCTTCTCTATTCCGGACTCGTGACATCTCTATTCTTCGTGAGGTATTCTTGAATAGTATCTTAGACCTCTTATGATCCTCGGACCTCTTACGATCCTCGGACCTCTTACGAAGGATCCTATGATACATAGATATGAAGCGTACCTTANAATCTACATGAAGCTTCTCTATTCCGGACTCGTGACATCTCTATTCTTCGTGAGGTATTCTTGAATAGTATCTTAGACCTCTTATGATCCTCGGACCTCTTACGATCCTCGGACCTCTTACGAAGGATCCTATGATACATAGATATGAAGCGTACCTTATGATAGGTACGTAGGAATGGTATGCTCCTTCATTCCTTTCTTCGGAGCTTCGTATCGTACGTATACTTCCTGCACTTCCTTTCACTACGTATGTATCCATTGCATTGTCCCGGACAGTAATATTGCTCATATATTACTGCAATATTACTCACTACTAAACTGTAGCAATCATATCTTCAATATTTTCAGYYGGGGGCTCTTCTTCTGCAATAGTTTCAGGAGCTCCCTTATACGGTACAAGCTTCYGAATGTTTACAGTCTCACGTACATTGTCGCTCCTTTGTAACACCACAGTTCCATTAGTGTTAATCTCCACGATGGGGTAAGGGCCATGTAGACTAATCTTTGAGACAGTTTGTCTGGTTCATAGAATTTCATGTAGGCCTGCTGTCCAACCTGATACTTAAAGGGTATTCTTCTTGCATTTTCYCTCCTGAGATTCTCATCGATTTGGTGTTGTCTTTTATCTCTGATAAGGTTCAAATCAGCAATGAGAGGAATGTCCATCACCATGTCTCTGTTGAAGACTAAAGCTCCTGGWGATGTCTTYACTGCTGCATTCACTGCACACCTGGTAGCATGCATTGCAGATGCAAGGGCATTGTCGATGATCTGATCTTCATCAAACTCCTTGTCCTCAATTGATGTTGAATGAGGAGTAGCTCGTAGGACATTAGCAATTGTCTGATGGACTCTCTCACAAACTGCATTTGC